GCAATAATTATTTTTATTTATGGATGTTTATTGTAAATATTATTGTAAATTAATGCATATTTACACTTACTAGCATGTATAATAGTTTAGATATAGTATGTTTTAGCATTTGTTTTACTACGCAAAGATATTTTCTGCATTATCACGTCGTTGACCTATTCATCTCGTTCACGTTTTATCACACATATTATGTAATTATTTATTTTTTTTTTTTTTTTTTTTTTTTAAAAAAAAAAAAAAAGAAGATCCGTATGCAAATAAAATATAAAAAAGGTAAAGAAAGGTATTATGGATAATGGATGATTTTTGTGTGGTGCAAAAAAAAATTGTGACTTTACGAATGCTAGTATATAATTAATTAATAATGATATTTGATACAGTAACTAATATATATATAAATATATAATTATCTTATATAAAGTAGTGTATATCAAACAAAAAAAAATTTTCTCTAAACAATTAGTGTGCACTTTTTTTTTTTGTTTCACGTCTTTGCATTGCGCAAGCAATTGGGTGAGTAATGCAACAGTAATTTTAAAATATTAACATTGCCGAGTAAATTATAAATACATCGCCTTAACACTTATAAAAGGATGCACAAAATCTTCTTTTAAAAGGTTATTCTTATTGTCCACCTTAAAGGTGGGAAAAGAAAATCCCTTTTTTTTTTAAAAAAAAAGTGAATGTTTCCGGAAGAAATTTTTATTAATTTACGAGTTTTATCATTAATGTTATCATTAATTTTATCATTTTAACATTAAATCGATTGATGTTTCTTTTTACTCAATGTTTTTATCTCTCTTTTTCTCTTATTCCTTGACTGTCGTCGAAATAGCTAGATGAGGTTATCTCACATTGCCCTTTTCTCGAGAAACCCAATTCTCTCATTTATTCATCATATACTGTATTTTCATTATGAGTGTGGAATCTAACACACCAAACAGTCAAATCTGTGTTGGTCTCTTGGTAGGAAGTGCCCTTTTAGCCGTAGCTTTTCTGGGCACGGCAGGAGTTACGCTAGCTTGTCTTTATTATCGTAGAGAAAAAGTCACAGGTGAACATAATGTAGATGAAGAAAAGGTAAATACCATCATTTATCGGATAAACTTTAATTTTTGAAATGCATACTTTTTTTGTGATATCTTTTTTGTTCAATTTTGGACTATAAAACTTTATCACCACCTTATACATTATCAAACTTAGACTTTAAATAACTCGTTAAAGCCTTCTCCATTGAAAGTTGCTCATTATCCTAAACCATCATCTCGACCCCCATCACCTACAACCTATTCCAATTATCTAAATAATAATCTCGTGGTTCCTCATAATAATAATTTTAAGTCAACACCTGAATCATTAAATATGACTTATATTGATTCTTGGGACAACTATATTGCACACATCATACCAAATTGTTCACATTGCGAAATTGATTAAAATGCATGTAGTTGCAAAACAAACTTATGAATTGGAATCTGTCAACGAACAACAATTTAATGACGATAAAATTATTAATGAATCAAAAGATAAAAATCCTGAAATAACGACAATATCACAATAAGCTACAAATATTGGTATAAAGAACATAATACTTTTTTATTATTTTTTTTATTATTTTTTACACCAGAGATTTGTGCTGTTTCTATCAAAATTATGTTTGTTATTTCACATCTTCTGGAAAAACTTAAAATTCACAAACTTATTTCACTCATTTATTTCGTTAATTTTTTTTAATTTTTAATGGCCATTTAAAAAAAAAACCAAAAAAAAAACTTTTTTTTTTCTTTTCATTTCATCGTGCGCACAAGAAACAAATGCCTAGATCTTTTTTTTTATACACTTCTAGGCAAAGATACGAAAGTTCCTTAAACGACATTTACAGTATGACAAAGAAATCTTTTTTTTTTTTCGAAAGACGAGACGACCCGTCGGGGTTTTCAAATACTTTTTATAATTTACCCATTTCGAAAGGGTTTATAATTCGATCATTTATATATCGTATATATCGATTTTTTTTTTAAAGAATCAAACGAGTTTCTTCATAAAGGAAGAAATTTTTACGATCGTCATTTTTATTAGAACCAAAATTTTATTAAACGAAATAAAACAACAAAGAAAACGGAACGAAGCTTTTTTTAAAATATATATTAGTTTTTACTGGTTGCGTTTGGGTGAAATTTGAAAATTTTTAATTGTGCAATTGCTACTGATTTAC